ACCTGGGGAAGGGGTTGCACACACTCGTGTTTTCCGCGGGAAGGCCCCAGTGGTTGAGCTCTACCCTCAGAGGGAAGGGGCAGAAACCATGTTGGGGTTGTTTTTGGTTTGTTTTTGGTTTGTTTTGTTTTTTAACCCCAGGCGCTTATTTGGGCCGAATATCGAACTTCATGTTGATACAGAGGGTTCCTCATTTCATCATGAGCTCGCGTGACATGGGGATCATGGTGCACTTAGGAAGCAAGTGAATGGTAAAGAGAAGTCTGGTGGATATGAGAGAGTGCAGGCAGGAGTGAAAGCAGGGTGGGAAGGAGCAGAGAGGTGGACAAAGCTCATGCAGAGGAATGAACTCGGTCTCTCCCAGCTCCGTCTGTGGCAGGCTGCCTTTTTGAAGGGCTCTGCTAGCCCGAGGACAGTGGCCAAGCATCCACTGACAAGCCGTGAATGGTGTCCTGCAGTGGGGGGTAGGCGTGGGAGAGAGAGAAGGGGTGACATTTGCTCAAAAGTCACCACCTGGCTGAAGGCTGCATTGTCCAGAAAGCACAACCTCTTGTGAAAGCTGCCACTTCCACCCCCATGGCAGGGACCCCATCTACGAGCAGGAAGGGGCTGCCTCGAGATGTTGCCTCACCTTGCCATGGTCCCGGGGGCCCGAGAATGGGAGTGTCTCAGGCCTTATGCTTCAATTTTGCAGATGGACACAAGAAAGCCAGACACTGGGAAGTGGTCCAAGGTCGCTCCAGGTGCCTTCAGTTTGGTTCAGACCCAGGTTGTAACAGGGTGACTGGCTTCTCATGGCCTTACGTTGTGCAACAAGAAGATCCCGTTTCTGCATGACCCTTGGTGGAGGCCAGGCTCTCAGGGGCCGGAGAGACCTGCTGGCCTGTTTTTCTTTGTACTTGCTTCTTATTGTCATGTAGCTCAATCCATGGGCACGTGAAGGGGAGACCCTGGGAACCCCCCAGCTGCCCGGGGGGAAAAGAGTCACAACTGCAAGATGCAGCCCCTTACACCAAGATAAATCTGCACTAACCCACAACTAACCCAGTTCCAACCCAGGGTAATTCCTTCCCAGCACAGCTCTTCAGGTGCCCCTTGCTATGCTTAGGCAGGGCTTTTGCTTCAAGTTTTCCCATCTCATTGCACCTCCATTCATGCAGTCGATGCAGTTAAAAAAACACAACCCACCCCAGTGAGCTGAGGAATGGGAAGACGATGGCTCTTGAATGCACGTCCCCATAGATGGCATCGAATTGGCTGGTTGTGACGCCATGTCACTTATGCCCCATTTATGCCCTTGGGGTTTGGTAATGAGCTGTGTGCACTTTTAACCTTTTGGGCATCGTCTGGATCTAAGCTGTGCTCTTATGGTGTCATTTTGACTGCTTGCAGGAGCACATAGTCTAGTTGCTAGTGGACAAGGAGCTATATTCTCCCTTGGTGGCAGTATAAAAATGTAAGCCAAGGGCTGAATGGGCCAAGAGGTGAGGGTTTCCTTCTCGCTCTCCCCCGAGTCACGATTCTAGATAAGCTTGCATTACTTACGCTGTACCTGTGCTGAGGATATGGGAGGGCATGGGGCTTGGGACCTGTCAGGCTTGAGACATTTGCACTAAGAAAATGAAGTTTGCTTGGGCATGGGGGTAATTGTTCCCTTCATTCGGAGACAGGAATCCCACTTCCTAATAGCAAGGGAGGCGAGATGCGGACACTTTGCAAATACCTTGAACTACCTAAGCGCTCTCTCCCCTTGTAACTCCACCCTGAGCTGTGCCCTCTCCTTCTAGAAATACAACGCCAGGCGGGTCTTATTCCCCAACAGAAACATACGCTGCGTTTGTCCTTTAGGTCCCTGTCCTGCTGATCCATCAGCCTTGCCCTTCGTGACCTTCACAAGGACCATCAATGAAGGGAGGGTTCAGTGGGGAGCCGGTGGCACAGAGGAGAGAACGACCGACACATTTTGCATTCCAGTCGCTGGTTTTCTCCTGCGGCTGTGAAGATCCTTGCTCAATTTCTGGCTCTGCTACTGCCTCGGTCGCAAGCTTGGCGAAGTCACTTAAGGTCAGACTTTTAAAAGGTGCCTAATTCCCATAATTACCCACAGACAAGGTTCTTTGGGTAAATCTGATCTCTTTTATTAAACCAGTTCAAATAGTTGGACAAATTCTTCTTTGCAAAGTTTCGGGTACAGATGCCCTTTGCCAGGTCCTCAGCCTGAAGAAGGGTAGTTGTACCTGAAAGCTTGCAAAGAAGAACTTTTCCAATTATTTGAGTTGATCTAATAAAAGATATCAGATTTACCCAAAGACCCTTGTCTGCCTAGGTCCTAGGTTCTTACAAGCTGCACCCCCATAAATACCTGTAGAAATCTAGTCCTCACCAATGAGTTTCCCTAACCATAAAATGGGTGTTTATATACAGACACCTTCCCTTTCCAGTTGGTCACAAAGTTTAATTTCCAGGAGCCAAACACTAGTTAGCAATGAAGACAAGGCCCTTTGGGTAAATCTAGTATCTTTTATTCGACCCACTGAAATAAAAGATATCAGATTCACCCAAAGTACCTTGTCTGCCTATGTCCTTGGACCGACACGGCTACAACCTGCACCCCTGTTAGCAACGAGCACTCTTTGTTAGCATAGGCCCCAGCTGTCAGATCTTGCTCTGAGAAAAGTCCCAACGACCAAATCAAGATGCGACAATGTAAGGAGCAAGGGGAAGCTGAACAGGGGTGTCCAGATTTCATCCAGAGCTTGTTTATTTGACTGACTCTCACATCATTAATAAAAGGCCACCGCGGGCAAAAGTATGTTATCAAAGTGCTCCGAGTCGAGGCAGCTGACGGTACTGTGGGTGCTGGCAATTGCAAGCTCCTCTGGGGAGAAGAGTCCGTAGGATAATCCCAAACCATGCAGGCAAATCCTCCATCCGTATCATCCTTCAAATACTAACTCCCTGACGCACCAGACTGGAGCACTATAATTTACTTGGAAATTGCAGCCATTGCAAGAGACTAAACTTCTGAACCCCCATCTCTCCGAGGGGGCCGTAAACACTTAAACATTGTCTTCAGTGAAATGGCCCCAGTCTCCCGCTGGCTTGAATGGCATCTTGGAAGATGGGTAGCATTTAGCATGCGTTTCCCTTATAACAATCTGGAAAGTATTCTCGGTGGGTTTCCTGCAGGTAGCTTGGCCGCAGCAGCTGAGCACCGCATACATCCTGAAGTACACTCTCAATCGCTGTCTTGTGCAGTACAGACAGGATGTAGTCTCCCTGCTTTCCTCCCCACTTCAGGCTGCTTCTCCTTCAGACATCCCCTGCAGGGACCGCTCGGAGCAAGCAGAGCTAGGAGCTGTGCGTTACCTCTCCAGGCTTCTAGCAAGGGAAAGGCGTCCGTCTGTCCCCGCTGTAGTGTATATTGTCCTTTGGCAGCTCCCAAAGCATTTCTGAATAGCAAGGCAGGCCATGGGTCTAGAGAGACTATTTCACCCACCACTTAAATGCAGCCACCTCTGGGATTCAACACAGCAGGTACTTAGCAGCGAACAGCATCACTGCACTGCCTGGTACTGGGTTAGCAATGCAAGTGAAACAGGCCTCTTCTCCTTTCTTCTTTTCTCTCTTCCCTTTTCACCAGCTCGCTTACACTCAGCACTGGATTTTGTAAGGGGAGAGAGTTTTTCCTTTCTGGGCAGCAGGACATTCACCCCGAGTTGTTTTGCATCCATTCATTTAAGCCCAGAAAATGAGCATGGTGCTATACAAGGAGTTTCTAAGTTGTGTGCTAAGTGATTAAGAAGCAGATACAGCTACAGCAAGGATTTGTGTCTAATGCTGCCTTAAAAACGTTCTTGCTAGGAAACCTCCCTGTGGATCAGGACAGAGGAAAATGCACCAGAGCAAGAAGACTCCGAAAAAACTAAGGAGGGAGCTCATCTGCTGGCTGATGCATCCCCTAGTCTGCATTGGGGCCTGTGGACCCTGACGGCTGATGGGTCTAAGCCCAGGGTGGGCAAAATGCGCCCCGTGGGTCGGATGTGGCCCGCCAAGCCATTCTATCTGGCTCACGGGGCCCCTAAAAAATTTAGAAAATTAATATTTATCTGCCCCTAGCTGCCTGTCATGTGGCCCTTGATGGCTTGCTGAAGCTCAGTAAGTGGCCCTCCGCTCAAAATAATTGCCCACCCTTGGGTAAGCTGAACTTCTGCAGAGTTTGGGGGTCTTTCCTCTTGGGGTTTGGTCTGGGTTCAGCTTTAGTTGGGAAGCTATATGAGGGCTGTGTAATATCTGCAGTGCATGTGCTGGATAAAATACCAGACCTTTCACTCAGCTTGTCACTTAAACCATCCACCTACCTGTGCTTGGCTTTGCATGCTGGCTCCCTGGCCCGTGTGCATGTCTGATCTCAGTCGCTGCTTGCTTCTCCCGTCCTCCCTCTACAAAAGAATCTGCGCCTCGCATCAAACTTTCTACTGTCATTACAAGTCTACCTTCCTTCCTCCTTCCTTTTTTCTTTAACCTGTAATTTCAGTCTTTGGGAATCTGACACATTTGGTCTTTATATCTAGTGAGTTTTCTTATCGTTCTACCCCAAAAAGTAACAGGGATGTCAATGTCCACTTGTTCCGCTGTATTAGAGCCGGCTACCTGAGATGCACTGAGCTGAGCAGGCTCATCCGCTACTTCATGCACGGATTCAATCTGTTCTTCCTCATCGTTTCTCCCTCTGACAGTCAATTTAGTGCCCATCAAATCCCTCCTGTTTCCTTTATAACTATCTCTTCTTTCTCCGCAGTATAAGATCTGGAGCAACGTGGGCATTAAGCGCTTCGGCAGGTTTCCGTGCCCCTCTCTGACACATGCCCGACAGCCTCCCTGTTTTCCAGAGGAGATTTTTTTTGAGTTACAAGCTTTTAGACCTACTTTGTCAAATAACATCCCAAATATTTGATTTCTGTCAGAGCCACTTTACATTTGCTCGTATTCATTCACAGATTCCTTCCACGACCTCTGTTGAAAACTCTCCTAAGCCTCTCTGCAATCCTGTCTGCTTTTTCCCTATGCCAGTCTCTCGTGTACGTACCATTCAAAACCTTTTTCTTTCCTGGAAGTCTGTTGCGTTATTCCTTGATACAAATTAGGAGGTGAGCAGATGCCAAGAAGAACAGGGAAACTTGTACTGCTGAATGGTGTACTGAATGGACAAAGTCCTGAACTTCTGTCATCCAAAGGCACTTGTGAGAATTCACTACTGGCATCTAAGATTGTGAAACTGTAGCTTTTTGCTAATTTACTAGTGAGTTCATCCACTGTGGGCAATTGTAAATGGTTCCCTTCTTACTGCTTTGTTCAAATCTCTTAAATCCAAACATGTTCTGAGTTCATCTTGCCTCACTTGGCGCATAATAAGCGTCGAATGGATTCACTTGGTAGGTTCTCGCCTCTGTGTTAACTTTTAACTGTCCCATGTAGGGCAATCTGGGTTTTACTTATCCCTCCATGCCAGGGGAATTTTACAAGGTACATGTGCTACAGGGGGTACTTGCAAGCTTATCATTATGGTGCATTTACCTCCCAAACCCCCTAAGCTTTCAATATATCCCATAAATAAATCCCAGTCATTCTCTGTTTCCTTCTTTACCATATTGATTTTTGTGCATTAAATTCAAACTAGTCACAGCTGGTAAATTCAGTATGGCCTGAGAGTCTAATTCTACCACCCAAAACACCAGTGTTGTTTTT